CCGGGGCCCGCCGCCAGCATGTCGCTGCCTCCGGAGAAGGCGTCGGAGCTGAAGCAGCTCATCCACCAGCAGCTGAGCAAGGTGCCTGGGCGGCGGGGCGGCCGGGTGGGTCCAGTCGGGCAACCCCGGGGCGCCCTCCGACCCCGGCGCGGACCAGCCTGGGGCAGGTCCTCTCGCATTTCCCGCGCCTCCCCAGCTCCGGAGGATGACCTGCGTGGCCCTGCGCTCGCGGGCCGAGCCTGGGCCGGCGTCTGGTGACCCTCGCCCGGTCCTGGGTCGTTCGGGTCGGCCCTGGGTCGGCCCTGGCGCTGCGTCTCCGACCGGGCGGCGGGCACGGGTGCCTTGCCGGCCTGCGGGCCTCCGGGTGCGGGGCTGCGGGGCTGCGGGGCGAACCCGGGCCGCCGGCCCTCAGGAGGTGGCGGAGGGGAACGGGGGGGGGGGATTGCAGCGACATTTTCTGGAAGGCGTGCTCGAAGAGTTCTTTCAAAAAGTCTCCTATTCTCGTTCAGTTGCGGTCAGAGCCGTACGTTTACTGATAGTTTTGGAAGCCGCAAACCGGAGAAGCAAGCTTTAACTGCTTTGTGATGATGTGAGTTACAATTCGAATTTTCTGCGTAGATGGATGTCCATGGCAGAATAAGAGAAATCCTTGCTGAGACCATACGGGAAGAATTGGCACCGGATCAGCAACATCTGTCGACCGAAGATTTGATAAAAGCCCTTAGACGTCGAGGAATCATTGATGATGTGATGAAAGAACTTAATTTTGTTACTGTGAGTTAAATTTTAGGGGGAAAATTTGACAATATATTGATCGTGCATAACACTTCGGTCTGTATTGGGTGCCTCTCCTGATTGATTGTAGTCACTTTAAGGTCATTGTGTCTACTAATAGCCTTGTTTCAGCGTTCAGTATGGCAAATAGTATTTTATATCAGTGAACTTTGAGTTACCATATTTCTTTCTGTGCATAGCAGAATTTTGTATTCTTTTAGATCAGTAATCTGAACTACATATGCTTTCTAGGATTGTTTTTTAACATTTTAGGTTAAACTATTTTAAAGAAAATACGCTTAGGAATTTTTTTTTTAAGAAAATACTTGACTCAATAAGAGCTCTCAAATCTTTTCATACATATAGGTCAAAGCTGAGTGATAGCCTCTTGGTATATTAGTAAGTAGGCCCTCTTTTGAAAATGAGACAGTAATGAGAAATTGTGACCTCAATACCTGGGTAATATAATGTAAAAATAGAATGAACTTCATAATACCTCAGGGAATTAAGTCTGTTCATACTGCATCCTTTTTTGGTTTTTGAGGCTTATGGAACCCATTTATTAAAAAATTGACCTAGTAAAAGCTACTGCTATATGAATGTCATATTAAAACCAGTTCATGGTGGAATCTTAAGGCAATGTTATATAAGGTTTAGAGAAAGTTTAACCTTGTGTAAGGTGTTAAGGATTTGTTTTGTCACATTCTGTGAATGGTAAGACAATTTAGACTTTAGGAATAACCAGTTTTGCTGTCTTTTATGCAGATATTTATAGGTATTTATTTTCATTATGCTAGGAAAATAAAGTATTTTATTTTATTTTTGAAAGGTTATTATCCTAACTGCTTTTGATTTCAGTGCTTGGCATGTTCTTGCCTACCTATGATTTTTGTTTTCTAATTTGTTTTGATTTTTTTTCTCTGTCTTTTTAGGAAAATGTTGATCAAGAACTTCCTTCCTCTCCAAAACAACCTGTTGGTTTTGATAAACAATCAACATTAAAAAAAAGTATGTACATGTTTTTTAACATTACTATAGTGTTTGATAGAAAAAAATCAGTATTTATTTTTCAAAGTGAAGCCCTTAGGGCTGGGGGTGTAGCTCAGTGGAAGAATGCCCATGTGTGAGGCACTGGGTTTGATCCTCAGCACCACATAAAAATAAATAAAGATATTGTGTCCATTTACAACTAAAAAAAATATATATTTAAAAAGATTGAGACGCAGAAAAGCAAATAAAAATGTTTTTTTAAAAAATGAAACTCTTAAAATTTGATGGTTAGTTTGTCTAAACTTGGATTTCATTTTGTATGTAGTGTATCATTTCATGTGTAGCACATGAAACAGGACATGAAACAAGAAACTCTAGTTTCTTGTGTTTTAGTATGATTTTATAAAAACAGTACAACTTTGCTTTTCTAACAGTAATATAATTATTTGGCAAAACACTTGCTAAGTTGATAACTGTCTGAGTTGGTTTATGGGGTAGAGGAATGTTGTATAAGCAACTAAAAAAGCAAGATACAGAAAACCTTGGCTGAACTCCTTTCCAGCTGAGAGAAAGTAGCCAGGATATAAACTCAGAAAAGGATATGTATTATGTATCTTTTCGTCCCAGAGTGCAAATGATCTGCTCCATAGTAAATTTGTTGCTCTCTTTTTTAGTCTTTGGTTTTTATTTCAGTCAAGTTATTGTTTCCTAATGTCTTGATCACAGTCTAAGTTATTTGGCAGTTTCCTCATATATATTGCTACACTTTACAGCTAATATTGATCCAACACGGAGGTATCTTTACCTTCAGGTTTTGGGTGGAAAAGCTTTCTTGGAACATCTTCAAGAACCTGAGCCTTTACCTGGACAAGTTTGTTCAACTTTTACTTTATGTTTACATTATCGGAACCAACGTTTTCGTTCTAAACCTGTTCCATGTGCCTGTGAACCGGATTTTCATGATGGCTTTCTACTTGAAGTACACAGAGAAAGCTTAGGTAAGGATGGGAAATACATTCAGTTGAGTAAATCTTGTCAGGTTTTATTGCAGAAAACTAACTTTTCCTATAAGTTTTTTTATTTGTTTGTTTTGTTTTTGTGCTAGGGATTGAACCCAAGAGGGTTCAACCACTGAGCCACATCCCTAGGCCTTTTTAAATATTTTTACTTAGAGACAGGGTCTCATTAAATTACTGAGGCTGGCTTTAAATTTGTGATCCTCCTGCCTCAGCCTCCTGAGATGCTGGGATTACAGGCATGTGCCACCACACTTGGTAAGGAGAGATTTTTTAACGGATGAATCTCTCTTTTCTCATATTGCTGTTTTTGTTGTTTTTTGAGGGGAAGGTGGGTAATGGGGATCATCTCCAGCCCTTTTTTATGTATTATTTGAGACAGGGTGTTCCTAAGTTGCTTAGGGCCCCATTAAATTGCAGATGCTGGCTTTGAACTTGGGACTCTCCTGCCTCAGTCTCCTGAGCTGCTGGGATTACATGTGTGTGCCATCATGCATGGCCTATAAAGGCATTTTACACACTTTGGTTGTTTGTATTTATAAAATAAGCAAAGTTATAGAATTATGCCTTCATAAGTTTAGATTTTAAGATTGATAATGCATTCATAAATTGTTTTTCCTTATAAACAATGTTACTTAATAAGGCAGTTAATGAGATAAATTGATAGATCCAAGGCTTTACATCTTTGAGTTTTCTGTGGATAATACAGTGGTATATCAGGAGGTTGAAGAGTGAGGTAGCTCAGCACAGTGGTGCATGCCTGTAATCACAGACTTGAAGGCTGATGTGAAAGATTGCAGATTCAGAGCAGTCTCAGCAACTTATCTAGATCCTGTCTCAAAATAATAAAGGGACTGGGGATATAGCTCATTGGTAAAGTACCCCTGGGTTCAATCTCCAGTACCCCCCAAAAAAGAAAGAGTAAGATTCTTGCTGTGAAGATAATTTAAAAAAATTTTTTTTTGAAGAAGGGTAAAGATAGTTTGAAAATGATGTTATTTAATGGCATTTTATCATATTAGCATATAAATAAAGAACAAATTCATTGTTTATAGGTCAGAACTGACTATATATTAAGTAACTAAATGACTCATCACAATTCTGCCATCCTC